AATAACACAAAAGCAATGTCTGATCTTCTAGCGGAGATTGACCCAATTAAAGAAAAAACAGGACACTTTAAAAGAGCTACTGGGAAACATGTGCTCTTTACAGCGACACGGTTACAGTTGCATCAGTCATTCTTATAAGCAAAAGACATCAGCTTTTTCAAAAAATAATTCTGTCATGTATTTGCCAAGAAGAACAAGTCCAAAAGAAACTTTCAGAGTGCTTTTCAAAACAAAGTTGAAAGTCTGCAGAATTTTACTTCGATAATAATAAAACATCTCTGATTTGATTTCAAAATGAATTTTTATTTATGAATCAATTTTAAATAGATCTTCGCAAATTGGTTCATAAAACTTCACAATATGCCAAAAAATAGTTCAGATTAAGGGAAAAATATAATAAAGTATGCTTAAAACAACTAAGAAAAAGCACATTTTGAGCAGCCTTAACAGAAGACAATTTGGCTCCACTAACTTTCTTTACGAGTATACTCATTAAATTTTTATTTACATTTCTTTTTTGTTCAACATTTAACTTTCAATGGTTTTAAGAGAAACAGCACTTGATAGAGAGACTCTAAATTCGGAAAAAAACTGAAACAAAATTGGTTTATACACAGGCAGTGCAATTACACTGACCTGTTGGGAAGAGAAGACCCCGTTGGACAGGGAAAATATTAGGCCACACAGAGAGGAAAATGTTTAGCCTCCTCCTCGTAATGCGAAAGGAGGCCACTTGGGAAAAAATTACACTACAGCAGTAATTTTGAAACCACTACGAAGCAACAGAACTCTAACAAATCTCAGACTTCTGATAATTATAGTGTGATTAACAGTTCAACCTCACTTCGAATATTACAATACAATATAAAGAAAGCACCAATTCAGACACTTCAATATGGAATTCAAAACCTAAGAAATTAATGCATAAATGCTACCCTAAACATTAAAACATAATGTGAAGCGTTCATGTAAAATAAATAACTAGTAAAACTCCAATATAAAGCAACATGTGAAAAGGGACTACAAATTATAACATTCAAGCATTTCTAGTGGAAATAAAGTTAATATAAAACAAGAATTACCAGCCACAGATGTCTTTTTGCTCTGCACTATTCTCCGTTCTTTTCATCTCGTTCTTTTTCTTTCACGATATCATGTTCTGCAATCCAAGAGTGCACAAAAATGATGACAAATTACACTAGAAGAGGCCAAAAGGGGGAAAAAAGGAATCATTAGATTTTAACTACTTTGAAATTAAAGAATAATTATACACAAAGAGAAATATCTAATATTGTTTCTTATATATAAAAACTTCAAAAGTAGCCTTCTTTGTTTTAAATTCCAGCAATGTGCTACATTGTTACTAAAATCATGACTGCAGTCGATAGAAAAGCAAATGATTTTCCTAATACGACAGAAGTACAGTAAGCGAAAGGGGTTTTTAATGTATGGGTACAACATGAACAATGAAAGAAAAAAAATTAGACAGTTATTACGGATACACAGAATAAAAGGGATAATGATCTTCGAGAAGAGTAAATAATTTCAGCGCTGGTAGAAAGATGGCACCAAAAGACAATAAGCAGGTAATTTTAAATGACAAATAAACAAAATAAACTTTACTGTTAGCTTTGAAGCAGGTGTTATATATTAAACTATCTTAATTCACACACAGAATTAGTGACATAACAGATCAAAAAAGAGTAAGAATCAAACTCGCAATATATTAACATTAAAAGAGCTATACATATATACTTTTAAAGATTTTTTTTTTTAAAAAAGGGCTCAAAAACACCATTCTAAAAACAGATTTCGAAGAACATCTTGGAAACAAAAGTCATAAACCATAAAAGAAATATTTCATTCAGAATTTTAACGTAAGAACCGTTTCTAATTTTAAGTTCTTTACTTAGGTACTCTCATCCATGAGAGAGGACAGCTTAGTCCAATGTACAAGAAATTATCCTGAAATATTACCACGTCACTTTAATGAAATTATAGCAATATTTCACTCAGGGAAAGAACATATTGTCTAGCTGCCCGGGTTCGAGCCCAGCTTTAATACAGCAAGCCAAAACACATCAAATGCCATTGAATGATACAGCATTTTGAAATGTTGCAAAAAATTTAAATGCAATTTCGTGGAAGAGCTATTGCAATTACCTACATACTAAAATTTTGACCAAAAATTCAAGAAAACTAAGATACTCCTTTTTCTTTCGAAGGAATCAAAGTCATATACTAATATAGGGATGCTCAACTTATTGTACTATAAAACCTAAACATAGGAATGAAATTTTGTCAGCTATGTGAGATGTCCAATACCGAGAAATTCCGCAAATTGTAGAATAGAACCTGCGTCTGGAAACAGAAGAAAGGTAAAACCATAATTCAAATACTTTACTTTTAGCCTTGAAGCAGGTATTCTATATTAAACCGTCTTAATTCACATACAGAATTAGTAATATAAGAGCTCAAAATATTGTAAGAACCAAACAAGCATTATATAAACATTAAAAAAGTCTATATACATTTATTAGTGTTACGAGGGTTTATTCTGAAATATTATAAGGTCACTTTCAATGAAATGATAGAAATTTTCACTCAGGGAAGGGACATTCTGTCTGGCTGCCTGGGTTCCATCCCAGCTTCTGTTACAAAAGTTTCATAGAAGAATTTTAAAAATCCAGAAATGAAACTTACGAAGAAATTATTGAACATACCTGGTTCTATGATTTAGTCATTCTTACAGACATAATAACTAAAATCTTAAACTTGAGGGGGGGAGAGAACTAAACTAAAGTCTTTGAATTAAAGGGTATTATAAATTCATTTTAAATCAAAATTAATTTTGTGAAAATATTACACAAATATAAGGAATATACATTTTTACCATAATGTAATGTACGTTTTGCCACTTTGAAAATCTGGAGAACTAAAGCGTGAAATATAAGAAAACTGAAACAAACATTTGGAAAATCTCATCGAGCTTAAATTAGTTTCTAAATTAGATGTTTTGAGTGTATTTAAAATTAGGCCAACTACTTCATTCACTTCAAACCCATTACATAATACTAGTATTTAAGAAAAATGGTAAAAGATTGCAAATATGTTAAATAACAATTCTACTGATCTAGAAATGGAAATAACTGATTTTCATCCTAATTAAGATCAAGAATATCACAAAAAGCCATTTGAATAGTCCTAGATCAGAAAAATCATGAACTGTTAAACTTTTAAAAAGATAAATTCCTGCTTTCGATCTACTTAAAAATGTGAAAGAGGATTTTCAACAATGAACTTGTTAAAATCAATGTTTAGATACAGGATAACAAATCAACATCCCAACGACTGCGGATTTAGCCATAACATCGCATGTACCAGAGGGAAAAAAAAAAAAAAAAACTCAGAAGAAATGCAGTGTTAAATTTCACATTAAAATATGATTTCCCTGTATTTAATTTTCATCTTGCTGAATTTTTTGTAAATAATACAAAGAGTATACCTTTTCTTTAACATATTATACCACACATTTTTATACTTTGTGTAATGCATTTATAACTGAAATATTAAAAGTGCAACTATATAATTGCAGCTAGCCAAAATTTTATAAACTTAAAATTGGCTCCCATTAAGTTAAAGTTGCACATAACTGCACCTAAGGGAAGGAATGCAATTTTATTTCTTTGTCTGTATTTGGTTTCATTTTCATATAAAAGAGTTAAAAATAGGGTTATCTAATTTTGTTATCTAGGTAACAAAATTTAAACACACATTTTCAGTAAAAATTACAGAATAAAAGATTTTGTTTCCCTGAAGACGCACAACACCTCGCTATTCCAGCTATGATACAGACTGCATACTGTCAGAGAGAAATTCCTTTCTTAAACAGGGAATTCCATATACTTTAATCTGTTTTTACACAAGTACTGTTTATGACTAATCCATGGTCCAGGAGTAAAATACTTTATAGTTAACCCATCTAAATTTTTATTATTTCCGGTCATCTGTATAGACTGTTTATTTATCACGACTAAACTCCCAATCTGCATTCCTACATAACCTCATATGATTCTTCAAGTCACGTTTCGTAGCCTATCATTTTTAATACAGCAGGTACTTGCTGAGCGCAGACTTGTAAAGCGTGATTTCGCGTATAGCAGTACCTTAAAGGATTCCATTTAATTTGTCCACTGCTAGAATTTCATTCATACGTGGTTCAACATTCATCCATCAACACCGGAAAGAATTTATCTGCTACTTTAAACAATTTCCATCGACTGAAAATGAAGTCCAAAAAAATCTTACAAATCTCAAAAGCAAAGATGCCGAAGAATTTTCACATATGGAAGACAGAGAAGTCAAACAATGAATCAGAAAATTACAAAAGAAGAATTGGGTGCTTATAAAACCCCTTGATAATAAAAGCGCTCATTACGAGAAAGAGCTTTTAACTGAAGATAAGATGAAGGAATTGTTAAATAACACAAAAGCAATGTCTGATCTTCTAGCGGAGATTGACCCAATTAAAGAAAAAAACAGGACACTTTAAAAGAGCTACTGGGAAACATGTGCTCTTTACAGCGACACGGTTACAGTTGCATCAGTCATTCTTATAAGCAAAAGACATCAGCTTTTTCAAAAAATAATTCTGTCATGTATTTGCCAAGAGAACGGAAAACAAGTCCAAAAGAAACTTTCAGAGTGCTTTTCAAAACAAAGTTGAAAGTTATCTGCAGAATTTTACTTCGATAATAATAAAACATCTCTGATTTGATTTCAAAATGAATTTTTATTTATTGAATCAATTTTAAATAGATCTTCGCAAATTGGTTCATAAAACTTCACAATATGCCAAAATAGTTCAGATTAAGGGAAAAATATAATAAAGTATGCTTAAAACAACTAAGAAAAAGCACATTTTGAGCAGCCTTAACAGAAGACAATTTGGCTCCACTAACTTTCTTTACGAGTACTCATTAAATTTTTATTTACATTTCTTTTTTGTTCAACATTTAACTTTCAATGGTTTTAAGAGAAACAGCACTTGATAGAGAGACTCTAAATTCGGAAAAAAACTGAAACAAAATTGGTTTATACACAGGCAGTGCAATTACACTGACCTGTTGGGAAGAGAAGACCCCGTTGGACAGGGAAAATATTAGGCCACACAGAGAGGAAAATGTTTAGCCTCCTCCTCGTAATGCGAAAGGAGGCCACTTGGGAAAAAATTACACTACAGCAGTAATTTTGAAACCACTACGAAGCAACAGAACTCTAACAAATCTCAGACTTCTGATAATTATAGTGTGATTAACAGTTCAACCTCACTTCGAATATTACAATACAATATAAAGAAAGCACCAATTCAGACACTTCAATATGGAATTCAAAACCTAAGAAATTAATGCATAAATGCTACCCTAAACATTAAAACATAATGTGAAGCGTTCATGTAAAATAAATAACTAGTAAAACTCCAATATAAAGCAACATGTGAAAAGGGACGTACAAATTATAACATTCAAGCATTTCTAGTGGAAATAAAGTTAATATAAAACAAGAATTACCAGCCACAGATGTCTTTTTGCTCTGCATTATTCTCCGTTCTTTCATCATCGTTCTTTTCTTTCACGATATCATGTTCTGCAATCCAAGAGTGCACAAAAATGATGACAAATTACACTAGAAGAGGCCAAGAGGGGGAAAAAAGGAATCATTAGATTTTAACTACTTTGAAATTAAAGAATAATTATACACAAAGAGAAATATCTAATATTGTTTCTATATATATAAAACTTCAAAAGTAGCCTTCTTTGTTTTAAATTCCAGCAATGTGCTACATTGTTACTAAAATCATGACTGCAGTCGATAGAAAAGCAAATGATTTTCCTAATACGACAGAAGTACAGTAAGCGAAAGGGGTTTTTAATGTATGGGTACAACATGAATAATGAAAGAAAAAAAAAAAATTAGACAGTTATTACGGATACACAGAATAAAAGGGATAATGATCTTCGAGAAGAGTAAATAATTTCAGCGCTGGTAGAAAGATGGCACCAAAAGACAATAAGCAGGTAATTTTAAATGACAAATAAACAAAATAAACTTTACTGTTAGCTTTGAAGCAGGTGTTATATATTAAACTATCTTAATTCACACACAGAATTAGTGACATAACAGATCAAAAAGAGTAAGAATCAAACTCGCAATATATTAACATTAAAAGAGCTATACATATACTTTTAAAGATTTTTTTTTTAAAAAAAGGGCTCAAAAACACCATTCTAAAAACAGATTTCGAAGAACATCTTGGAAACAAAAGTCATAATACCATAAAAGAAATATTTCATTCAGAATTTTAACGTAAGAACCGTTTCTAATTTTAAGTTCTTTACTTAGGTACTCTCATCCATGAGAGAGGACAGCTTAGTCCAATGTATACCAGAAATTATCCTGAAATATTACCAGGTCACTTTAATGAAATTATAGCAATATTTCACTCAGGGAAAGAACATATTGTCTAGCTGCCCGGGTTCGAGCCCAGCTTTAATACAGCAAGCCAAAACACATCAAATGCCATTGAATGATACAGCATTTTGAAATGTGGCAAAAAATTTAAATGCAATTTCGTGGAAGAGCTATTGCAATTACCTACAAACTAAAATTTTGACCAAAAATTCAAGAAAACTAAGATACTCCTTTTTCTTTCGAAGGAATCAAAGTCATATACTAATGTAGGGATGCTCAACTTATTGTACTATAAAACCTAAACATAGGAATGAAATTTTGTCAGCTATGCGAGATGTCCAATACCGAGAAATTCCGTAAATTGTAGAATAGAACCTGCGTCTGAAAACAGACGAAAGGTAAAACATAATTCAAATGCTTTACTTTTAGCCTTGAAGCAGGTGTTCTATATTAAACTGTGTTAATTCACATACAGAATTAGTAATATAAAAGCTCAAAATATTGTAAGAACCAAACACGCATTATATAAACATTAAAAAAATCTATACATTTATTAGTGTTACGAGGGTTTATTCTGAAATATTATAAGGTCACTTTCAAAGAAATGATAGAAATTTTCACTCAGGGAAGGGACATTCTGTCTGGCTGCCCGGGTTCCATCCCAGCTTCTGTTACAAAAGTTTCATAGAAGAATTTTAAAAATCCAGAAACGAAACTTATGAAGAAATTATTGAACATACCTGGTTCTATGATTTAGCCATTCTTACAGACATAATAACTAAATCTTAAACTTGAGGGGGGGGGGAGAAACTAAACTAAAGTCTTTGAATTAAAGGGTATTATAAATTCATTTTAAATCAAAATTAATTTTGTGAAAATATTACACAAATATAAGGAATATACATTTTTACCATAATGTAATGTACGTTTTGCCACTTTGAAAATCTGGAGAACTAAAGCGAAACAAACAATCATTTGGAAAATCTCATCGAGCTTAAATTAGTTTCTAAATTAGATGTTTTGAGTGTATTTAAAATTAGGCCAACTACTTCATTCACTTCAAACCCATTACATAATACTAGTATTTAAGAAAAATGGTAAAAGATTGCAAATATGTTAAATAACAATTCTATTGATCTAGAAATGGAAAAAACTGATTTTCATCCTAATTAAGATCAAGAATATCACAAAAAGCCATTTGAATAGTCCTAGATCAGAAAAATCATGAACTGTTAAACTTTTAAAAAGATAAATTCCTGCTTCCGATCTACTTAAAAATGTGAAAGAGGATTTTCAACAATGAACTTGTTAAAATCAATGTTTAGATACAGGATAACAAATCAACATCCCACGACTGCAAGGATTTAGCCATAACATCGCATGTACCAGAGGGGAAAAAAAAAAAAAAAAAAAAAAAAAAAAAACTCGCAGAAATGCAGTGTTAAATTTCACATTAAAATATGATTTCCCTGTATTTAACTTTTCATCTTGCTGAATTTTTTGTAAATAATACAAAGAGTATACCTTTTCTTTAACATATTATACCACACATTTTTATACTTTGTGTAATGCATTTATAACTGAAATATTAAAAGTGCAACTATATAACTTGTAGCTAGCCAAAATTTTATAAACTCAAAATTGGCTCCCATTAAGTTAAAGTTGCGCATAACTGCACTAAGGGAAGGAATGCAATTTTATTTCTTTGTCTGTATTTGGTTTCATTTTCATATAAAAAGAGTTAAAAATAGGGTTATCTAATTTTGCTATCTAGGTAACAAAATTTAAACACACATTTTCAGTAAAAATTGCAGAATAACAGATTTTGTTTCCCTGAAGACGCAACACCTCGCTATTCCAGCTATGATACAGACTGCATACTGTCAGAGAGAAATTCCTTTCTTAAACAGGGAATCCATATACTTTAATCTGTTTTTACACAAGTACTGTTTATGACTAATCCATGGTCCAGGAGTAAAATACTTTATAGTAAATCCATCTAAATTTTTATTATTTCCGGTCATCTGTATAGACTGTTTATTTATCACGACTAAACTACCAATCTGCATTCTACATACCTCATATGATTCTTCAAGTCACGTTTCGTAGCCTATCATTTTTAATACAGCAGGTACTTGCTGAGCGCAGACTTGTAAAGCGTGATTTCGCGTATAGCAGTACCTTAAAGGATTCCATTTAATTTGTCCACTGCTAGAATTTCATTCATACGTGGTTCAACATTCATCCATCAACACCGGAAAGAATTTATCTGCTACTTTAAACAATTTCCATCGACTGAAAATGAAGTCCAAAAAAATCTTACAAATCTCAAAAGCAAAGCATGCCGAAGAATTTTCACATATGGAAGACAGAGAAGTCAAACAATGAATCAGAAAATTACAAAAGAAGAATTGGGTGCTTATAAAACCCCTTGATAATAAAAGCGCTCATTACGAAGAAGAGCTTTTAACTGAAGATAAGATGAAGGAATTGTTAAATAACACAAAAGCAATGTCTGATCTTCTAGCGGAGATTGACCCAATTAAAGAAAAAAACAGGACACTTTAAAAGAGCTACTGGGAAACATGTGCTCTTTACAGCGACACGGTTACAGTTGCATCAGTCATTCTTATAAGCAAAAGACATCAGCTTTTTCAAAAAATAATTCTGTCATGTATTTGCCAAGAGAACGGAAAACAAGTCCAAAAGAAACTTTCAGAGTGCTTTTCAAAACAAAGTTGAAAGTTAGTCTGCAGAATTTTACTTCGATAATAATAAAACATCTCTGATTTGATTTCAAAATGAATTTTTTTTTGAATCAATTTTAAATAGATCTTCGCAAATTGGTTCATAAAACTTCACAATATGCCAAAATAGTTCAGATTAAGGGAAAAATATAATAAAGTATGCTTAAAACAACTAAGAAAAAGCACATTTTGAGCATCCTTAACAGAAGACAATTTGGCTCCACTAACTTTCTTTACGAGTACTCATTAAATTTTTATTTACATTTCTTTTTTGTTCAACATTTAACTTTCAATGGTTTTAAGAGAAACAGCACTTGATAGAGAGACTCTAAATTCGGAAAAAACTGAAAAAAAATTGGTTTATACACAGGCAGTGCAACTGGACCTGTTGGGAAGAGAAGACCCCGTTGGACAGGGAAAATATTAGGCCACACAGAGAGGAAAATGTTTAGCCTCCTCCTCGTAATGCGAAAGGAGGCCACTTGGGAAAAAATTACACTACAGCAGTAATTTTGAAACCACTACGAAGCAACAGAACTCTAACAAATCTCAGACTTCTGATAATTATAGTGTGATTAACAGTTCAACCTCACTTCGAATATTACAATACAATATAAAGAAAGCACCAATTCAGACACTTCAATATGGAATTCAAAACCTAACGAAATTAATGCATAAATGCTACCCTAAACATTAAAACATAATGTGAAGCGTTCATGTAAAATAAATAACTAGTAAAAGCTCCAATATAAAGCAACATGTGAAAAGGGATGGACAAATTATAACATTCAAGCATTTCTAGTGGAAATAAAGTTGATATAAAACAAGACTTACCAGCCACAGATGTCTTTTTGCTCTGCATTATTCCTCCGTTCTTTTCATCATCGTTCTTTTTCTTTCACGATATCATGTTCTGCATTCCAAGAGTGCACAAAAGTGATGACAAATTACACTAGAAGAGGCCAAAAGGGGAAAAAAAGGAATCATTAGATTTTAACTACTTTGATATTAAAGAATAATTATACACAAAGAGAAATATCTAATATTGTTTCTTAATATATAAAACTTCAAAAGTCGCCTTCTTTGTTTTAAACTCCAGCAATGTGCTACATTGTTACTAAAATCATGACTGCAGTCGATAGAAAAGCAAATGATTTTCCTAATACGACAGAAGTACAGTAAGCGAAAGGGGTTTTTAATGTATGGGTACAACATGAATAATGAAAGAAAAAAAAATTAGACAGTTATTACGGATACACAGAATAAAAGGGATAATGATCTTCGAGAAGAGTAAATAATTTCAGCGCTGGTAGAAAGATGGCACCAAAAGACAATAAGCCGGTAATTTTAAATCACAAATAAACAAAATAAACTTTACTGTTAGCTTTGAAGCAGGTGTTATATATTAAACTATCTTAATTCACACACAGAATTAGTGACATAACAGATCAAAATAGAGTAAGAATCAAACTCGCAATATATTAACATTAAAAAAGCTATACATATATACTTTTAAAGATTTTTTTTTAAAAAAAGGGCACAAAAACACCACTCTAAAAACAGACTTCGAAGAACATCTTGGAAACAAAAGTCATATACCATAAAAGAAATATTTCATTCCGAATTTTAACGTAAGAACCGTTTCTAATTTTAAGTTCTTTACTTAGGTACTCTCATCCATGAGAGAGGACAGCTTAGTCCAATGTACCAGAAATTATCCTGAAATATTACCAGGTCACTTTAATGAAATTATAGCAATATTTCACTCAGGGAAAGAACATATTGTCTAGCTGCCCGGGTTCGAGCCCAGCTTTAATACATAGCAAGCCAAAACACATCAAATGCCATTGAATGATACAGCATTTTGAAATGTTGCAAAAAATTTAAATGCAATTTCGTGGAAGAGCTATTGCAATTACCTACATACTAAAATTTTGACCAAAAATTCAAGAAAACTAAGATACTCCTTTTTCTTTCGAAGGAATCAAAGTCATATACTAATGTAGGGATGCTCAACCTATTGTACTATAAAACCTAAACATAGGAATGAAATTTTGTCAGCTATGTGAGATGTCCAATACCGAGAAATTCCGTAAATTGTAGAATAGAACCTGCGTCTGAAAACAGACGAAAGGTAAAACATTATTCAAATACTTTACTTTTAGCCTTGAAGCAGTGTTTCTATATTAAACTGTGTTAATTCACATACAGAATTAGTAATATAATAGCTCAAAATATTTTAAGAACCAAACACGCATTAAATAAACATTAAAAAATCTATATACATTTATTAGTGTTACGAGGGTTTATTCTGAAATATTATAAGGTCACTTTCAAAGAAATGATAGAACTTTTCACTCAGGGAAGGGACATTCTGTCTGGCTGCCCGGGTTCCATCCCAGCTTCTGTTACAAAAGTTTCATAGAAGAATTTTAAAAATCCAGAAACGAAACTTATGAAGAAATTATTGAACATACCTGGTTCTATGATTTAGCCATTCTTACAGACATAGTAACTAAATCTTAAATTTGAGGGAGGGGGCGAGAGAACTAAACTAAAGTCTTTGAATTAAAGGGTATTATAAATTCATTTTAAATCAAAATTAATTTTGTGAAAATATTACACAAATATAAGGAATATACATTTTTACCATAATGTAATGTACGTTTTGCCACTTTGAAAATCTGGAGAACTAAAGCGTGAAAAATATAAGAAAACTGAAACAAATCATTTGGAAAATCTCATCGAGCTTAAATTAGTTTCTAAATTAGATGTTTTGAGTGTATTTAAAATTAGGCCTAACTACTTCATTCACTTCAAACCCATTACATAATACTAGTATTTAAGAAAAATGGTAAAAGATTGCAAATATGTTAAATAACAATTCTATTGATCTAGAAATGGAAATAACTGATTTTCATCCTAATTAAGATCAAGAATATCACAAAAAGCCATTTGAATAGTCCTAGAACAGAAAAATCATGAACAGTTAAACTTTTAAAAAGATAAATTCCTGCTTTCCGATCTACTTAAAAATGTGAAAGAGGATTTTCAACAATGAACTTGTTAAAATCAATGTTTAGATACAGGATAACAAATCAAACATCCCAACGACTGCAAGGATTTAGCCATAACATCGCATGTACCAGAGGAAAAAAAAAAAAAAACTCGCAGAAGAAATGCAGTGTTAAATTTCACATTAAAATACGATTTCCCTGTATTTAACTTTCATCTTGCTGAATTTTTTGTAAATAATGCAAAGAGTATACCTTTTCTTTAACATATTATACCACACATTTTTATACTTTGTGTAATGTATTTATAACTGAAATATTAAAAGTGCACTATATACTTGTAGCTCGCCAAAATTTTATAAACTCAAAATTGGCTCCCTTTAAGTTAAACTTGCACATAACTGCACTAAGGGAAGGAATGCAATTTTATTTCTTTGTCTGTATTTGGTTTCATTTTCATATAAAAGGAGTTAAAAATAGGGTTATCTAATTTTGTTATCTAGGTAACAAAATTTAAACACACATTTTCAGTAAAAAATTACAGAATAAAAGATTTTGTTTCCCTGAAGACGCAACACCTCGCTATTCCAGGTATGGAACAGACTGCATACTGTCAGAGAGAAATTCCTTTCTTAAACAGGGAATCCATATACTTTAATCTGTTTTTACACAAGTACTGTGTATGACTAATCCATGGTCCAGGAGTAAAATACTTTATAGCTAATCCCTCTAAATTTTTATTATTTTCGGTCATCTGTATAGACTGTTTATTTATCACGACTAAATTACCAATCTGCATTCTACATACCTCATATGATTCTTCAAGTCACGTTTCGTAGCCTATCATTTCTAATACAGCAGGTACTTGCTGAGCGCAGACTTGTAAAGCGTGATTTCGCGTATAGCAGTACCTTACAGGATTCCATTTAATTTGTCCACTGCTAGAATTTCATTCATACGTGGTTCAACATGCATCCATCAACACCGGAAAGAATTTATCTGCTACTTTAAACAATTTCCATCGACTGAAAATGAAGTTCAAAAAAATCTTACAAATCTCAAAATGCAAAGCATTCCGAAGAATTTTCACATATGGAAGATAGAGAAGTCAAACAATGAATCAGAAAATTACAAAAGAAGAATTGGGTGCTTATAAAACCCCTTGATAATAAAAGCGCTTATTACGAGGAACAGCTTTTAACTGAAGATAAGATGAAGGAATCGTTAAATAACAGAGAAGCAATGTCTGATCTTCTAGCGGAGATTGACACAATTAAAGAAAAAAACGGACACTTTAAAAGAGCTACTGGGAAACATGTGCTCTTTACAGCGACATGGTTACAGTTGCATCAGTCATTCTTATAAGCAAAAGACATCAGCTTTTTCAAAAAATAATTCTGTCATGTATTTGCCAAGAGAACGAAAACAAGTCCAAAAGAAACTTTCAGAGTGCTTTTCAAAACCAAGTTGAAAGTTAGTCTGCAGAATTTTACTTCGATAATAATAAAACATCTCTGATTTTATTTCAAAATGAATTTTTTTTTTGAAATCAATTTTAAAGAGATCTTCGCAAATTGGTTCATAAAACTTCACAATATGCCAAAATTGTTCAGATTAAGGGAAAAATATAATAAAGTATGCTTAAAACAACTAAGAAAAAGCACATTTTGAGCATCCTTAACAGAAGACAATTTGGCTCCACTAACTTTCTTTACGAGTATACATTAAATTTTTATTTACATTTCTTTTTTATTCAACACTTAACTTTCAATGGTTTTAAGAGAAACAGCACTTGATAGAGAGACTCTAAATTCGGAAAAAACTGAAACAAAATTGGTTTATACACAGGCAGTGCAATTACACTGGCCTGTTGGGAAGAGAAGACCCCGTTGGACAGGGAAAATATTAGGCCACACAGAGAGGAAAATGTTTAGCCTCCTCCTCGTAATGCGAAAGGAGGCCACTTGGGAAAAAATTACACCACAGCAGTAACTTTTGAAACCACTACGAAGCAACAGAACTCTAACAAATCTCAGACTTCTGATAATTATAGTGTGATTAACAGTTCAACCTCACTTCGAATATTACAATACAATATAAGAGAAAGCACCAATTCAGACACTTCAATATGGAATTCAAAACCTAACGAAATTAATGCACAAATGCTACCCTAAACATTAAAACATAATGTGACGCGTTCATGTAAAATAAATAACTAGTAAAGCTCCAATATAAAGCAACATGTGAAAAGGGATGGACAAATTATAACATTCAAGCATTTCTAGTGGAAATAAAGTTGATATAAAACAAGACTTACCAGCCACAGATGTCTTTTTGCTCTGCATTATTCCTCCATTCTTTTCATCATCGTTCTTTTTCTTTCACGATATCATGTTCTGCATTCCAAGAGTGCACAAAAGTGATGACAAATTACACTAGAAGAGGCCAAAAGGGGAAAAAAAGGAATCATTAGATTTTAACTACTTTGATATTAAAGAATAATTATACACAAAGAGAAATATCTAATATTGTTTCTTAATATAAAACTTCAAAAGTCGCCTTCTTTGTTTTAAACTCCAGCAATGTGCTACATTGTTACTAAAAGCATGACTGCAATCGATAGAAAAGCTGATTTTCCTAATACGACAGAAGTACAGTAAGCGAAAGGGGTTTTTAATATATGGGTACAACATGAATAATGAAAGAAAAAAAAATTAGACAGTTATTACGGATACACAGAATAAAAGGGATAATGATCTTCGAGAAGAGTAAATAATTGCAGCGCTGGTAGAAAGATGGCACCAAAAGACAAAGAGCAGGTAATTTTAAATCACAAATAAACAAAATAAACTTTACTGCTAGCTTTGAAGCAGGTGTTATATATTAAACTATCTTAATTCACACACAGAATTAGTGACATAACAGATCAAAATAGAGTAAGAATCAAACTCGCAATACATTAACATTAAAAGAGCTATACATATATACTTTTAAAGATTTTTTTAAAAAAAGGGCACAAAAACACCATCTCTAAAAACAGACTTCGAAGAACATCTTGGAAACAAAAGTCATATACCATAAAAGAAATATTTCATTCAGAATTTTAACGTAAGAACCGTTTCTAATTTTAAGTTCTTTACTTAGGTACTCTCATCCATGAGAGAGGACAGCTTAGTCCGATATACCAGAAATTATCCTGAAATATTACCAGGTGACTTTAATGTAATTATAGAAATATTTCACTCAGGGAAAGAACATATTGTCTAGCTGCCCGGGTTCGAGCCCAGCTTTAATATAGCAAGCCAAAACACATCAAATGCCATTGAATGATACAGCATTTTGAAATGTTACAAAAAATTTAAATGCAATTTCGTGGAAGAGCTATTGCAATTACCTACATACTAAAATTTTGACCAAAAATTCAAGAAAACTAAGATACTCCTTTTTTCTTTCGAAGGAATCAAAGTCATATACTAATGTAGGGATGCTCAACCTATTGTACTATGAAACCTAAACATAGGAATGAAATTTTGTCAGCTATGTGAGATGTCCAATACCGAGAAATTCCGTAAATTGTAGAATAGAACCTGCGTCTGAAAACAGACGAAAGGTAAAACATTATTCAAATACTTAACTTTTAGCCTTGAAGCAGGTGTTCTATATTAAACTGTGTTAATTCACATACAGAATTAGTAATATAATAGCTCAGAATTTTTAAATAAACATTAAAAAATCTATATACATTTATTAGTGTTACGAGGGTTTATTCTCAAATATTATAAGGTCACTTTCAAAGAAATGATAGAACTTTTCACTCAGGGAAGGGACATTCTGTCTGGCTGCCTGGGTTCCATCCCAGCTTCTGTTACAAAAGTTTCATAGAAGAATTTTAAAAATCCAGAAACGAAACTTATGAAGAAATTATTGAACATACCTGGTTCTATGATTTAGCCATTCTTACAGACATAAGTAACTAAATCTTAAATTTGAGGGGGGGAGAGAACTAAACTAAAGTCTTTGAATTAAAGGGTATTATAAATTCATTTTAAATCAAAATTAATTTTGTGAAAATATTACACAAATATGAGGAATATACATTTTTACCATAATGTAATGTACGTTTTGCCACTTTGAAAATCTGGAGAACTAAAGCGTGAAATATAAGAAAACTGAAACAATCATTTGGAAAATCTCATCGAGCTTAAATTAGTTTCTAAATTAGATGTTTTGAGTGTATTTAAAATTAGGCCAACTACTTCATTCACTTCAAACCCATTACATAATACTAGTATTTAAGAAAAATGGTAAAAGATTGCAAATATGTTAAATAACAATTCTATTGATCTAGAAATGGAAAAAACTGATTTTCATCCTAATTAAGATCAAGAATATCACAAAAAGCCATTTGAATAGTCCTAGAACAGAAAAATCATGAACAGTTAAACTTTTAAAAAGATAAATTCCTGCTTTCCGATCTACTTAAAAATGTGAAAGAGGATTTTCAACAATGAACTTGTTAAAATCAATGTTTAGATACAGGATAACAAATCAACATCCCAACGACTGCAAGGATTTAGCCATAACATCGCATGTACCAGAGGCAAAAAAAAACTCGCAGAAGAAATGCAGTGTTAAATTTCACATTAAAATACGATTTCCCTGTATTTAACTTTCATCTTGCTGAATTTTTTGTAAATAATACAAAGAGTATACCTTTTCTTTAACATATTATACCACACATTTTTATACTTTGTGTAATGCATTTATAACTGAAATATTAAAAGTGCACTACATACTTGTAGCTTGCCAAAATTTTATAAACTCAAAATTGGCTCCCTTTAAGTTAAAGTTGCACATAACTGCACTAAGGGAAGGAATGCAATTTTATTTCTTTGTCTGTATTTGGTTTCATTTTCATA